CCCCAAAACCCCAAAACCCCAAAACCCCATAACCATCCACAAATTTTGAATCAACATCTTTAAAACTAGTTTTGTCTGTATCACTCCAAAATATCTCCCTAACTGATCAACTCTTCATTAAAACAACATCCTAAACCTGTCACAGGAGCCCACCTCCATCATGCTCAACCCATACTCTTCCAAGATGCCCTCAACTTGCTCTCTCCACACTCCTCAATTCTTTAACCCTATCGTAACTTCTCTCCCTTTTATGCTCTCTTCTTGGGCTAAGCCTTCCATGATGCACCTGAATCTTCGACAGTCTTCTCCAGCCCAGTTGCTTCTCTCACCTGTGCCAGTGAAGTCAATGCCTTGAAAAGTAGCTCCTTGTAGCCGATCTCCGAAATAACATTCAGTGTCAGGCTTAATTATTCACTTGATGAACTTTATGACTTGGACATTTTTGGAAGAGGCTAGGATATCTTGGAAATAGTCCTTGGTGAGGATTGAATTGTAGAAATGAACTTTTTTAGTGGCTAATGGAAGGACTTTGGTGAGTGAGGCGATATAGGGAATAGAGGATGTGATAGATGAATGTATATGGGAGAAAGTCAGCTCTCTGATGTTTTCTCTAATTGAGTTCGAAAGAAATTCTTTCAACGCTCCAGGCTCTTTTAGTTTTTGTAGAGAGCAAAACTGAAGTAATTCTAGAGGAGGTATTTTTAGAGCTTCAGTTGCTTGAGTAATAGAACGTCATTTTCATTATTAAAGTCAAACTTAAGTTCAGATCTTTGCTGAAATTCTTGTTCAATCTCATTATACCTTGTAAAATCCCTCGGACTCAAAACACCATCACATTGTCCTATATTCCAAATCCAATCGAACCCAACTCCAACACCACAAACTCTGCCCCCAATAATCACCCACAACCCCCAAAATCCCATCCCTAAACACCCCTCCTTCACCCAATTCTCCCCCACTTGCCCTCCCCCAGCCATTCCCTCTACTACTAAATTCCACTTCTAAGCTAAAGCCCCGGGCTGTAAGCCAGAGTCTGAAATAAGCTATTGGACTATGAAGAAGGGGGGTTAGGGGCTGAGAGAGGATAATGGGGAGGAGGAGTAGTGAGGAGGAGTAGGATGGGGCTTACTTTTGAGATTTTGGATTTTGGAGTCTTGGATTTCGATGTGGTTTTGTGATTTTTTTCATTTTTCTATCCACTGTCTCATTTCTGTTTCGAGTCTGTTTTTCTTTCAAGCTAGTTGGTTGATGGTTTCTTCAGAGTGGGATTTATCTTGTTGGAATTTTTCGATTTGCTTTCTTAGTATCTTTGTAAGTGAATCGTTTTCGCCTTCCCAGATTGTGATTCCTTGGACTCTTTGCTCAAGGGTTCTGATATAGTCCTCTTTTTGCTTAAGAGCATTTCTCATCTCTTGCACATCACATTCCTTCACCTCAAACCTCCTCATCTCCTCTCTAATCTCCCCCTCCTGCTTCCTAATAACCTCATCCTTCTCCTCCATCTCCCTCTCTCACACCCTCACTCTCTCCGTAACCTTCCTCAACTTCTCTACCACCCTCCCATAATCTGTCTTCCTCATGCTCTCTCTCAACTTAACCAGTTGTCCATTGACCCATTTCTTCGAAGCACTGTACACTCTGTTCCTTCCTGCTTTCATATCTCTGAACTCTCTGTGCGTAAACTCTCTGATGTATTCCTGCCAGAGAGGGGAGGTTTGGAGGGAATTTAGAAGGGATCTGGATTCTGAGTGGAGGTAGGGTAGATCCTTCCAGGTGTTGGAAGTGACTGAGAGGGAGAGGTCTTCTAGAAGGTGTGTGAGATATGTGAAGGAAGGGAAGTGGAGAAAGAGGTTTGGGAATGAGAGATTTGGGGGTTGGGAGAAAGGGGGAAATAGGTGAGAATGGTGAAGTTGGGGTTTAAAGGTGGTGTAGATGTGATGGAAGAATGAAGAAATTATAAAGGAGCTGTATGATGTGAATTAGAGGGATCAGAATTTTGGATTAAAAATTATTATTTACTTTTGAGCTTTGAATTGTTTTCTTTGTATGTTTCTAGTGTAGGCAGTAGTTTATTATTAAAACTATGCCACTCCATAAAGTGATCAATCTTTGCTAAATGATGGTCCACTATAGTTAAAAATGATTAGAACCCAAATTTCCAGAATTGATAAATTCACATCAAAATCATGCTAAATACATTCCAAATCATCACCACTAAATCTCACCTCAAAAATCATAAATTCCCTCAAAACCCTAAAAAAAACTAAAACCCTCCAAAACCCCCCAAAACCTCCTAAATCCCCTCTTACCACACTCCAGTCACTCCAATACATCCTCAGCATCCGGCACAACCACAATCCTCTCCCCCGTATACCTCAAATTCATTCACTTGGCACACACAAACACATCACTATCCAAATAATTATCCCTCGTCTCCTTCACCACAAAGGCTATAACACCTCATTCTTCTCCAAAACCACACTTGGGAATCTGCATGATTAGTTAAGTTAAATATTATTTAGCTGAGATGGGGTTTTGGGGTTTTGGGGTTTTGGGG